TAGGACATAACTGCAATAGTTATCGAGGAATCAGCCTATTTGACGTCTCAGCGAAAATTTTTGCTTCCTTTTTACTCAACAGACTTATGGAAATAGGAGACAACAGGATGCGCCCTAATCAAGCTGAATTCAGATCGGGGCGCGGTTGTGCTGATCAGATATTCACGTTAAGAAGGGTATTGGAACGTCGCTTCAGATATATGCAACTCATCATTGTTTCATTGACTCTGCGGCTGTCTTGATTTAATTGATAAAAAGGCGCTTTGGAGGATGATGGAATGCGACGGTGTTCCAGAGAAGACCATTCGACTCATAAAGGTATTTTATGAGCGTACATCGGTGGAAGTCTGTGTATATGAGGAACTAACAGTCTTTTTCGAAGTAAGAACTGGTATCCTTTCCTTTCCTCTACAGTATTCAACTATGCGATAGATGTGTAATGGACACCCACTTATTCCAGAATAAATTTTTTTGAAAATTTATCCCTAGGAATTATATTAGAAAGGTTTTCTTATCCAAGAATGGCTGCACACTTTTCTGATTCGATAAGTCCATTATTGTTCAATTTTTACTATTGATTTCAATATTTATGGAATGGTGAATTTTCCAGAAAGAAATGGAAAATTCCGGAAAAAAAAGAAGTAACCGAAACGAAATCTTTGCACTTGGTTAAATAATTATTTCTTGATCAATGTCTCACCAAAATAATGTCTTCCTGGTTTCACAATTGTAGTTTTTTTCTAAGTTATTTTCTAAGTTATTCTAAGTTTGTCGGACACTCAAGGGGTGTCCAAATTAGTCCAGAACATCGTATCACAGATCTTGAATACGCTGATGATGTAATTCTCTTTGCTTACAGTTATGGCGAAATGCAAATAATGTTAAATAACGTGTCAGCGACTGTAGCGAGAATCGTGTCAATGTAAATAAAATGAAGATCTTTTCGTCTTATGTGCAAAAAGCTGATAAAATTTCTCTTTTTGTAAATTCATTGCCGGTCGAAGAAATGCCCGATTTTGAAAACCTTGGACCCACTCTAATACAAATGGCCAGGCAAAAGACAATATTATAGCCCGAATTACGGCAGATAAAAATGCATTCTTCCGCTTGACGAAACCTTTATGGAGCCGTCGTGAAATTACCATTAAAATAAAAGTCCGTATCTATATAAGCCGTGATCCTTTCGATCTTGCTATATGGTTCATGGCCAATGAGAGTGGAGGATATTAAGAAGCCATCTGCCTAGGTACATTTTACGGGTCCGTCGAGCGGATAAAATATCACATGATCGCTTCTACCTTCATTCAAATATCCTCTTGCATTAATAATGCTATCACAGAGCATCGCTGGTTAGAGCACCTTCTCTGTCGTCAACCACATGAATTGACGCATTTGCTAAACTGTCATTTCGTCATTTGCTAAACCGTGTGATGGTTGGCGTCAAAAGCGAGGTGGGCCAATCAAGATCTGGACTGATACGGTTTTGAATATATAGGTGAACCAGCAATATATGGACTTAGACGATAGAAAAAAGAATGGCTTCCATTACTATCTACAATATCAACAGACCGCGCCACTTGGAAACGTCTTAATCTTGTAGCCGTTGAAACCAGCCTAACCAGTGATGGTGAAAGCTGTTAGAAGAAGAAGATAGTTATAAAAGACAAATTAGTCATCATAGAAAAACAATATTAGCAAAATATGATTAAGCAGTATTCGACTAATCAGCTAATCAGCTTATCATAGGTCGAATTCTCATCATTAAAGTGAATTTTTATTTCATTAAGATCGGGGTGGGGCTTGGGATTTAATTGTACTTATGATTCTAGTGATTCCCTATCGAGGAGGCCTCATAATAGCATTGTAGAGCATGAAGAAGAAGAGATGATAGATGTTGTAATGGCAGAAATATAAATATGGATGAAACAAAAAGCTTCATTCAGTATAATTTATTTAAAACCTTACAAATTTAATTCACAAGCATAGAAAAAATGGTTTATTGAAGATAAATTTTAGGATTTATCGACTAAATCGCGTTTCAAATTATGAGAAATTCTTTCTTTTTTTGAAAAAATATTGAAATATATATTTTAAAATTTTAAATGGGGATAATTCGACGAATTAAAATATTTCTTTATTATTAATGAATTTTTTCGTCAATTAGCTTATTTAACGATATGAGAATTTAAATAATACTGAAAGATAGTTGTAGAACTGAAAATTTAAATAAATTGACAAAAAAATGTAAAGGAACGCGTCTAAAAAATGTAAAGGAACGCGTCTGGCGATTTCATTTAGTCGGCTCGTGCACTGTTTACCAATGCATAGAATTTTTTATTTCAGTTCATTTATAGCAATAAGGATGAATATAATAATTGATAATATCGAAAATAATGGCATAAAATGAGCGTAAAATAGTGAATGGTGAATATCTACCATTTTTAACCTCCCAAAAAAATTTTTGTGATCAATTACTAAGGATCAGTTAAGATATCTGGATATTCCGAACTTCTATTCCAAATTCTTATAGAAAATGAATCAGATCACTTAATTTGCCATTGTTATTATGCATATTTGGATTACTAAATAATATTATGGAAGTAATAATATGGAAATAACTAATTAGCTGGACGACTCTTTTTTGCAGTAATTATAATAGTTTATGTGAGATTATTTTCCTTTTCAAAACCAGTCAAGCAAAAAAAGTAAATTCACCGCTAATGATATTATTAAGTGCTGTATCTTATCCAAGTAACAAAAACCGCCAAACCTTAATATCCCTTATTGTCCTTTGGTAAATCATGGAGATGGAAAATAAATCATATATATTTATGAAATGTGTGGCACAAAAATGTTCTGAAGGACTATTATCGGCTAAAACCATATCGCAAAAATATCATCGTAGATATTTTTCAATTTTATCTTTAGTTAATCAATAGAATAATTAAGATTTTACTTCAATGAAATGTATTCAAAAATCATTAGAAACAAAAAAAAAAGATTATATCAGTTGACCAAATTAACTTGGAATTTCATTAACGAAATTTTCATTATCATTTCCAAGACTTCGAAGATAGACACATGAACATTTTACTGGTTCAATAATATTTTTTTGCAAACTTCAATTTCGTTTTAAAATATAAAATTATGTAAAGTTAGGCAGGTTCAAGCAAATAAACTAAAAAAGGAGAAATTTTGAGAGAACCGAATGATAATGAAGATGTTCAGATGTTTAGAGCTAGGCCTTGCACCTTGGATATGATAAAAGCGAACTTATAAAAAATGGTGTCCTTGTAATATATCTCTTCTATCATCAATTGATTCCTAGCAGTGATATCGCATTAAGCTTGTGATTCTAAAGGGAAATGGCAAGGCTAACCACTTAATGATTAATGATGAAGTTAATGAAGTAGGATGAACCAGTAGTTATTGCTTTTGCTACGGCGTGCTATGTGGGGATTTTATTCTTGACAGGAATAAACCTGTTTTTCAACAATCCAGGTGACCTATCTATATTTCTACCACCAGGTGACTAACTGGTGAAAATTGTTCTGGTTCAACAAGCCAGCGGATTAAGCCTGACCAGAAATGGTCTTAGGAAAAAAAGTGAAGTTAATGGAACTGGCACTTAACGCACTTAATATTATTATATTGCTGTAAAAAATATTAGTTTTTTTTAATGAAAAACTTATAGAAAAATCAAATAATTTTAACTCGGAAATTCTAAACTCGGAAATATTTGCGCATTTATAATTCGCCAAGTATTTTTATGATTTCGCAATATATTTTGTTTCTAGATTTCAGGTTTGGCTGATGTAATTTCTAAATATTGACATGTTATAATTTTTAGCTTTTACAATCTGGATGGTTCAATTTTTTAATAAATTTATTACTTTATTACTTTTTCGTTTTTGTATTTTTATGTCTAAATAACAATATGTAAGTTAGCGTTTGACATTTCTGGTCTGGATTGCTCCGATGACCTTTAGAACGATGAAAATTTCGGAGAAAGTAGAGGTGGATCCTCAGCGAAATTTTTTATGATAGTTTTTTCTTCATTGATAAAATTAAAAAAATTAAAATTACAAAAATCTAAAACGTTAATGTTACATTTGTTTAAAATCGCTGATTTATAAACCTTTCTGATTTTAATTAAATAGATTGTGATTAATGAAATTTATTAAATTTATAATATTTTTACACTTTTTCAATTTAGACGATTTTATCAGAATCCACTCACTAGAGAATTATCATTTTTCTTCTTGAAGTTTTTTTGGATGATTATTCAAAATCAAAATTTTCGATTTTTGGGTGCTATTCGAATGTTTGACACTTTATTTATTATATAAAGGCTAATTAGATATAATAAAAACAAAAAAGCGAGTTAAGTATTTAAAAATATATTTGGCATTTATCAATTAAACACTATTGGCCTTTTTTTATGGCGTACCTGTAAGCAGTGAAAAAGAATCTTTCAATTTTTTGGACAGTTTTGCTCATACCCAGACATTGGGCTAAACGGCGCTACCAATTGATGCTGGAGACTCGACCTTACTTCTGTCGCCAAAAAACCATACTGGTAGCCGAACTAGCATAGCCAAAAATTATGAGCATAAAATAATTTGCTTCTTTATCAGGTCGCATGAAAATGTAACAATAGATGCTATACTGGAAAACCATGCTGGATTCATGAGTTTCGAGTTTACCGAATCCAAGAAAGATTGTGTTGCACACAAGTCTTACAAATTTTTTTCTCTTCGGATTATCCTTTTTTATTTTCAGATTTTAACAGATCAAAATTGACTTGACAAAGTTGAAAAAAATATGATTTTTCTGTGCAAAATAGCCGGATTTTAATAAAAAATTATTTTTATTAACATCTTAAATTATCGAAGAGCACCTTAAATCGCCAAAGTCCATCTCTTTGCCCTTTGTGAGTGAAATATAATTGAATGGTAGCACTTTTCTATTTTCGCTATATTAAAATTTTAACAAATAATTCATGGTATCCTGCAATTCAAAAATATAAAATCCGCAGATTTTTATAATTTTTCATTTTGAAAAAGATTGTTAAAAGAATGGGCAAAACTTTCAGTTTAAATTGATTAAATAAAAACCTGTTATCCAACAATAACCAATAAATAAGATTGCCAATGACAGCAAAAAGACGAAATATGGCATGAAAAAAGCAACACCTTCCATGATAAACGCCAACTAAAAATTAATAAGGAAAATAAAAAAGATGAGATATTCTGATATGAATATTTTGCCGTGAAATTTATTTCAAAGACCGTCACATTTTTTGGTGGATCGAACGCAAACATGATTATGAAATGTAGTCAGATCAGACTTCAATTTCCTTTTTCTTTTTTGATCAAATAAGATTGATGGAAAATTGATTTAACAATTCAAAATGGATTCATAAATAGCAATTTTTGATAAATAAAAATAAAATTTAAAAAATATCCTCCGAGGAGAAATTGATAAATCAAATGGCCCAGATTCCACTTATCGCTGTCTGAAGTGAACGGCAATAGATGCGAAAATTTATTTCTTTGGCACTAAATTTTGGTTTCAACCATCTTTTAAAAATCATAATATTTAATATTTAATAATAATAATATTAATATTTAATAATAATAATAATATTTAAAAAACATAATATTTAATTTAATTTACAGATTGGATTTATTGATTAAATTGTTTATCGACCTTCAGAAAACGAAGGATAATTGTGATGGCCTTTTTAATAATCGAAAGCATCGTTGAACATAAAAAATTAACAAAATAAATTAAAAATAAATTAAATAAATTAACAAAATCTGAAAAAAAATTTCATCCAATATGTTTTACCTAATAATTGCATTAGAAATAATGTCGCATATGCAATAAGTAAATTTGATAATTCGGGATGAATATCATTAAAGATGATTATTTTCCAGAAAATAAGAGTGAATGCAAGAAGTGCAGTACCATACATGCGAATATGAAAAGTATCGTCAGGTGGTAATGAATAGTCAAATTCGATATATCTTCCGATAGATGGAATCAATAAATGCTAAAATATTATTTGCAGTTCAACAAGTGACATATATGTATATACATATTTGAAACTCAAAAAGTATAAATTCTCAAATTCAGAAATTTCGCTACAAATAAAGAGATATGAGTAATCTGATTTCTTTTATAACTTCTTCTTATATACAATTTTTATAATTTAAGAAAGTTTCTAGAATGCAAATATTTTCCAACATATCCATTTTAGCAGAAAAAGTACATACCATAAGCCCGGATAAAAAGAGATAAGCAGTAACCGTTGTGCTCCATAACAAAAGGCCCCGAGGCAATCGAATACATAAACTCTCATTAGTTCCAAGAAGTTGAGAAATCTTTAATGAGTACCATAAAAAAATTCAAAATTAATTTTAAGCCTTTAAATTTTCCAAGTCAGATTTGGTTAACATCCGCAATAAAAAAATGAAAAATAAAGTTATATTTTTTTCAAAAATATTAATGCCTTAAGTTCAACAAAATTACGTGGTAATTGAAAATTATTAAATGATAGAAATATCTATTCTATCTATTTATCTTACTCATATACATGGACCTCCAAAGAGAAATACTGTCAAGCTTTTTTCATAAATCATTCTTATTAGAGCATTTTTTTTCCAATTTAATGATGGCAAAAAAAGTTTTAAAACTAATGCTCTTAATAAAATATTCTGCAAATTTTTCAAATGCAATGAGAATCGCTAACAGATGTCCAATCTCATTCATAAATTATGGCAAAATCATTCTAATCATCAAGAATCACCATCGAAATAATCTATGTGGTAAATTTCTTACGAGAATTGAATAGGTACAATATGGCTAATTCCCCAGACTGTTAGTGGCCAAAAACTTTGCTAAGGGGGATATACAGAAGTGGAGATGACCTGCTATGACCACTTGAATTTTCTTTATGATAGGCTTTCTCTGTTAAACGGCGAAGGAGGAAAAGTTGAGGAAACAATTGGCGAGTGGATAGAGCCTTAGATTATTTTATGAAAATTAATAAATATATTATTAAATGCAAATAATAACTAACACATTATATATTAAATAATAAATATATTTTTGTATAAACAATTAAATACGTTAGCAATAAATAATGAATATTTCATTATTTCGCCAAAAACTTCTTGAATGTTTATTTAAAAGCAATTGTAAAAATTTAAATAAAATCAACTGAGTATCAGTTATAAAAAATAAATAAAATTTTTTTTACCGCTAAACCCACAATCGATTGAAATTCCCTTATGTTGCTGCCGCATGGAAAAATATATTTTATAAAATTTATCCAGAATCGATTCATAATAAAAACAAATCCTATGTGGCGAAAATTTATTGAATTTTTCTGCTAATTAAAAATATTTTATGAATTTAATTTAAGATAAATTTATCGCTTACTTTAGATCGATAAATATTACCGCTGTCACCAACGAGTTCACCCACACCTAATAATTTCCTCGTTTTAAAACGACTTTGCAGTTCATTTGAACTTTTTTTTCGAGGAACAGTGGCCCCTGTGTCTTGCATCTGAATCGAAGAAAAACCGAAGAATTAATTAACTGTTTATTGCTCGATTGATGAAAATTGACAAAACAACGAACAATACTCAGAGATAACTTTGCTTTACATTAGACAGATTATTTCTTCATAATGTACTTATGAGACGAGATGCTGCACCAAAGCACCATTTCCTTTCCTCTCCCTCCACCCGCTCCATCAAATTCCCTCAAAAGCTACTGCAAGGGGAGTCAATAGAATGGTTATCAGCATTCTTCAAATCAAATTCTCAGGATAATATTGGTTTTATTTGCTTTTTAAAATCATTTTTCATATAATCTATTTTTCATACAAAATTTCGATGCTTACTAATGATATTTCGATGCTTACAAATAATAATTTTTCGAATTGCTATTACTTCTAAGTAAATTTTTGTTGAATAAAAATAATTCTCTTATTTTATAGGATGTATTTTCAAAAAGTTTGCTATTTATAGAACCGAAACGAAAGAAACGATAATTTCTTACCCACTAGCACTTTAAGCACTTTTTTCACTTCTCTAAAATGGGAGATGATCAAAAAGAAATACTGGAATTGAAATATCTTGGATAAAGTACTTATGAAGTACTTAATTGCCTTTTGAACCTTAATAACCAGAATTTTGCAGCAAAATTTTCAAAATTATCAGCATTATAAATTATCCTTCATTTGCTTAATTTTACCTGTCAATGTTAGCAGTTATACTGATTGCAGCAGTATGCAGTTAAATAGTTATAAACAGTTAAATAGTTATAATAGTTATACAATTATAAATAGTATAGCTATATGCGAAGGTAAAATCGGAAATCATATGAACTTGCTTTGCGCCGAATAATCTGAGGAAATAACTGCAGAAATCAAAAAAACACATTTATTATCTCCAAAAATATTTCGAGTTTTGCTGTTTTATAATGAAAAAAATTCTTCAAACAGAAATACTATTGCGGTGGATGAATGGCTTCGAATTATTTTCTTCAGAGAATATCGAATTCAAAATATTTTTTCCTCGAGTAACGCCAGACCATCAAGGCCTCGATTCTCTACCACGATTTGTAAGCTTGTCGTTAAAGGATAAGTGGCTTGTATTTCTATTCCCGAGTGAGTCTCTGGCCAAGGGATCTCTCCAAGCGATCAATGGAGCCAATCAAATTCGATGTGTGGTTTATAAGATTTCTAGTAATCTCGCGTAAATTATGACTGAAACGCAATAAGCAAAATGAAGTTTAAATTTTGCTTAAATTTTTTATTACTTTTCTAATTTTTGTTAAAGGGCCATCACTAGAGACGTGCAATCTGAGTTTAATAGTTCAGGCTAATACAACAAACAAACAACCGATTCATACTTGCACTGTAAATTTCTTTCTCGCAATTCCATATTTTATTCAAAAATTTACTTAAATTTTATTTTTTTACGGCTCATTCCTCAAATCGAAGCAAATTTTACTGTTCATTTCTTAAAATATTTAAAAAAAGAAAGTTGAAGCAAATAATTCTTGTTTAAAACAACAAGCAACGCAAAAATTTAGAAATAATGCGTAATGTAAATACTTATTTGTATTCGATGAAACCTATGCAAATTGAGAAAATTGTCAAATTTCAACAATTTATATCGATAAAATGAGAGTTATAATAAATTTATAAATTTGATTAATATTGCCTTGGAAAATACGACAAACATATTGCAATTCTAATTTCGTTTATTTCGTTTATAGGAAAAAATTATTGAGGAAATTTTGTTGAAAAACATTTCGAAATAATAGCCATGCTTTTCGTGCTTTTGATAAAAAATATTCATTAATCCTACAGATTGAGGAATTCTTTGCAAAAAATTGATAAAATTCAAAAACATAAATAAGAGAAATTTTCATTAGAAATTGATCCAGATATCCAGAAATAAAGACGAAAGAAATTGCAAAAATTAATGAAATTCAATAAACAAGGAAGGAACATATAAATTCACTTGAATTATTTTGTGTAGAACAAAGGGAAGTCAAAAAAATATTTTGAAAAAGTAAATGGAACCTAAAATCAAATACATTTTCTGCCAGAATCATCAAAATCATAAGCTTCAATGAAAAATCATTTGTGAACAACGTTTCAGAATTTGCGTTCAGAAATGGTAATCCATCAGTGAAAAGTCAAAAAAACTAAAAAATTCAATAAAAAAGCGAGAAATAAAAAATGCCTGCATTATACATGGAAAAAAATGTTTGTTCTGAACTCCACTCATTTTTTAATCAATTTTTTGAGAAAAACATTTCAATGAAGTTTTCTTTCAATAAATTTTTCAATAAAGGATGATAAAGGATGTTTTTCTTTGACAATTTCTAAAATTTATAAATACTGTAAAGTCGAATAAATCTTGAAATAATGGATAATGGGTTTAATTTGAGATTTAATTAAAAATACTTCGATTATACGAATCGAAAATGAAATAATCTGTGAATATTTCAGTGCAGACTTCTTCATTTCTTGAAGAATTATTAATTTCAAGATTATTCTCATTATTGATTCTATACGGCGACCATTGCGAAGAAAAATCATTCAACTTAAAAAATGACTTGAAAAAAATTTTTGACTTCATAAATATCTTATAAGAATATCAAACAAATTAAAAAATTACGCCGTTCCAAATGAACTAATTCATCATAGCAGTAGGAACGCCCTGCAAAGGGCTTCAATGGATCTTCATAATAATAAATCACAACAATATGATTAGCGGGATTTAATGTTCCATTAGTTTAGATGAAAGCATCTCTCTTTGAAATAGAGCCAAATTGAGTCAATGGGATAGGAAAATTTGGCTCGATTTAGCTCGATTTTTTTGCAAAATATCTAGTCAATCACTCTAATGTTGAATTAAAATTTCTCGTATTAATTAGATGATTTCGTTAACAAATTTTTAGAGCTAAAAAAGTATCGTTGTTGGAAAAATTGAAATTTGTGCTAATAATCCATATTTATAATCTCTTAGAAATTAATGCAGTAAATAGGACAAACGAGAAATGTAGGAAAAATAGATTTAGCTTGATTAATAAAAAAGATTCGTTTTAGATATATTTAATCCAAAGACATAAGAGAAATTTTTTCACGAAAAACAATTTGTTTTAGACTTTCCATTAATGAACGATTATTCAAAAAAAAAGCGAAAAAAATGGCAAAAAAGAATGGCTTTAAAAGACAAAAAAAAATTACATGTGAACACTGTAAGAAACTAATAATAAGTTTCTTGTTCGACCCATCCTTTTGGAAAACGACGTATCAAATAGCGACGACATTCATCATACACAAAAATTAAAATAGAAAATGGCAAAGCAGGAAACCACCACGAAAAACTGAAAAAACTAAAATAATTAATAATTCACTAGCTTCATTCACTACTATATCAATCAAATTATATATTGTTATATACTGTTTTCTGTTATACTGTTTTCGAAAAATATTAAATTTTAAATATTATTAAATATTAAATAATAAATATTAAAAAAATATTAAAATATAAAAAAAATATTAGAAAATGAATAATAGAAAATCCATTTAAATAAAGATGAAAAAATGGGAGGCTGTTGGCTGAATGAGCACATAAATGGATGGATAGATTGGCTATTTGTCCAGATTTTCTAAGTAAAAAAATGATCAAAATAGCAAAACAGCATATATGAAGTTTTTTTATCGCTAATAATTCCCATGAAACGGAAAAAAATTGATGGAAAAACTTCACGAACTGCCCATTAGTGGTCGTTTCAAATATTAAAATCAGTTGAAAACAAAATGAAATATAAAAATTGATTTTATCAACGAAATCTGAGAAATCTTCAGTTTTCTAAAATTTTTTTATTTGAAAATATGCGAAATATTTCTGTGAAAAAATTTTTTTAACATTGAAAAATTAATATACTTATATACTTATAGATTATGCTTCTTGTCGTCCATATTGTTGACGCATATTTCGCTGAACCTTGATGTGATGGATGGAGCAAAAGCAAACTGATAGGATAGATTTCTAACCATATAAATGGCCCAACGATATAAGGGCGTTGGAAAAAAGAATGCACCCTCAAGCATGGCATACGAAAGGGAAGCTTGGAAATGCTATAACCTAATCTAATTGCTAGTGGACCAAACCAGCAATGAGTCAAGAAAAAGAAAAACATTAATGTTAGAAAAAGAACATTAATTTAATAAGGGAAAATACAACATTAGAAAACAGGATTGTCTCGAATTTGCATATTCCTATGTAATAAAATATTATTCCTTTAAATTCAATTTGAAATGTCTTAAATTTAAGAATTTGTGTACTTACCGTAAGCCATACATACGAAGACCATTATCAAGACCAGGACAGTAAGCCATAAAAGCAGCTAGAGCAGTTTCAAAAACAAGGCCAAAATTTAAGATCCAATTACTCATGCCTATAACAATCAGCAAATAAAAATTTGATAAATAACGAAATACAAAAATTTTGACAAATTCCTTAAAAAATAAAAGAAAGTAATATGTATAAATTTTCCATAAAAGATAAAGCGATGAAATCAAAATTAATTTACCTTGCTGCACTATCGAATTTCGTCGTGTTTTACAAATAATTAAATCAGCCCACTGTACTATAACGATACTTGAGAAAAATGCTGTATGACAAGTGTATTCAAGCACCTTTCGATTTGCATATGTCTGTAAAATAAAGTGTATGCCGATTAACTCATTAAATTATAATCGATGGCATTACTTGACCGGCGAAATTTCTAAATTTAAATAAATGAATAAAAGTTGATTCAAATCGTCAAGCTCCTATGGAAAAATTATACGAGAAAATAACGAAGAAAAATTGTGGTTTATCGTTTCAAATAGAATGTATAGCTAAAATTTACAAAAGGATGGATGATTATTCAAATATTCAATAAAATTATTTAAATAATTCCACTTTTTCAATAATAAATAGGTCACCAGCAGGATTTCACTTCAAATTGCAAAATTATTCCCAAGAGGTTTGAACTATTATGATTAATCTCAGTCGAAGCAATATGTCATCCTATCCTGCCCTTCACAAGAAATATCGTTATCAAAACGAAGACTTTTTTTTGTTTCAACGGCACCAAAGATGACAAGATTTAGAAAATTTTTCGTTTTGTTGTAGCAATAGAAATAACAGAAATAATTTGAGAAAAATCACCCATTGCTGCCCGTAACTATCTTCAAGATCATTTACTGCTCGAGAATCCCATTTAGCTCTCAAACCTAATAAATCCCAAGGAAAAAAGCCATTTTCAGCCATAATATAAAAATAAGCAAAGAATCCCGATGATGCTTGTATCATACCAATTTGACCATAGGCTACAGAAATAAGCCTGAAAATAAACTAGATTTTAGAAATAAGCCTAGAAATAATATTTTATCCTATCAATGTAATTCATATTTTATAATCAAATCAATGCTTAAAAAATAAAAAGCACCGTTCATTCACCAGTTTATCATGTTTTGGATCACGTGGTTTTCTATTCATAATATCACTTTCAGCTTCTTCATATGCTAACGAAATTGCTGGCCACTGAAAAGAATCATCTTTTTAAGTATCAAATATTCTTAATTTTTGGAGCCACTATATTAGTCAGTTAACATATTTGACCAAATCGGTGTGAAAACTGTTAAATGAGAAATTCGTATGGGAATTTCTAGATGGAAATTTAATAAAAATTTAAGATTTAAAAGACTTTTACAATCAGTTAAAGAACTGATAAATTCGAAAACGAAACAAACATTTTGGGCTATCTTCTTATCCTCTTTTATATCCTTCTTAATGATAAAAGAAACAAGTTAGTACTAACTAGATCAGTACCCAGATCGATACATAGAATGGTAACTGTTCCAAGTGGTAAGGGAATATCCAGTAATATAAATGATAAAAATGGAGATATTTCGGGGATATTTGATGTTAATGTATAAGCAATAGATTTTTTGAGATTATCGAAGATAAGTCGGCCTTCTTCAACACCGGTAACGATCGAGGCAAAATTGTCATCGAGCAAAATCATATCGGCTGCTTGTTTCGAAACATCTGATCCCGCAATCCCTAAAAATTTTTCGTGCAAAATTCACTTTATTGAGCGATTTAATATTAATATCAAAAAAAGTTCTTGGCTCCAATTAAAAGCTTTGAATTAAGCAATAAAATTTCTTTCTTTTTTTTATAATTGTCATGTCTTTTGACCAAATAACTTCGATTATAGTCAAGCAAAAAGAATGCTTCACACAAGTTTTCATAAGGTGCATGATAAAGAGATTGGCCGATATTACAGAAGAAAAACTACCCATAGCGACTCCAATGTCAGCTTTTTTCAATGCAGGAGAATCATTAACACCATCACCAGTAACAGCAACAATTTGGCCTTGGCGCTTAAATATTTATTTACTATAATTATGTGTTTATAATATATTTAAATATTTATAATTCAGCAAAAATCTAGTATATTTTATTTAATTTAACGTTGAACATCAGATGATCCATCAATGTATTTTGAAAATACAAAAACTGATACGTATAATTTTAAAAACATTTCTTAAAAATCTGTTTAACTGCTAAAAAAAAAATCTACCTGGAAACCTTCCACAATCATCAACTTCTGCTGTGGTGAGGTTCTTGCAAAAACAATTTCATCATGCGAATCTAAAATCTGCTGCAATTGGTCTTCATCCATATCTCTTAAATCCGCACCATGAATGACAGCAGCTCGAGCTTCGTGAGGATTTACCTATAACCTTGCTTGGAATAACTTTCTATAATCATCAACTTAAAATCGCCGAATCAAATCAGCCCAAAAAGTTGTTAAGACATATACAATCCACCATAAAAATCTAATTCAGCTTTTTTACATTTCCTAAATAATCGCTTAATTTTTTGGCTACTCGTTCGTTAACCTTTTCACAAAATTTCTTTACAAGAAGAAAATCAATATTTAAAGAAATCTGTCAAAATTTATTTGCATCTTCAACACTGATTCCCTTTCTTAATGCAATATCTTCCACTGTTTCTGCATCATCTGAAATTATCCCAACTGATTTGGCTATTGCTTTCGCTGTAATAGGATGATCGCCAGTCACCATTATAACCTAAAATGCCAACCATTACATTTTAAGAGAAAAGTGAGTGTAAATACAAACTGCAGAAGAGAATGAAGAAAGTGTTCACCTTAATACCAGCACTGCGGCATTTCGACACTGCTTCTGGAACAGCTGCACGTGGTGGATCTATCATAGAAATTAGTCCAGTGAATCGAAGATGATCGAGTGGAAAATTTGGGTCATCCGAATCGAAAGCAAATCCTAAATATATCCAATTCAAGTCAAAATGAAAATGATTAAGGATAAAAAGTTTCATTTTCAGACGTTTTGTGATGCTATTGATAAACTCTGAAATTTCAAATAAAACCTTGAGGGAATTCCTGCGGATCAAGTCTGTAGTCACAAAATCCAAGAACTCGCTCACCCAGTCCACCTAATTCAAGATATGCTTCATTAAATTCATCTTTAAGTTCTGCAGTCAATGATAATTCTTGGCCTTTTGTTAATATAGTCGAACAGCGATCGAGGATTCGTTCTACAATATTCGGTGTTTACAGCAAAAAAAGCTGCGAAGCAATTAAGTAAAGATAAAGGAATTTATTCTAAATCGCTCAAAAATAAATACAAATATAGATTTCCGAAATTTTTTCACAAAATAAAACGAAAAATACTTATTTATAAATATTAATAAATATTTATTTTTTATTTCTAATAGCTCTATTTTTAATGCTCTTGAATGCTTTGGTACTTTTTGATTACTAATTTAGAAATTATATTTTATGATGGCTTCATGCATACCTGGTGCACCTTTCATAACGAGCAAATGATAAAAACTATTATTTTCCACAATTTCATGAATTGAAACTTGGTACTTATTAGTGGAGTTAAATGGTATTTCACACACCTAGAATGAAATAAAAAGAATTATCTCTTAATTGTTATTCACACCATGGGTATTCTTTGTTTGGAAAAATCCCTAAGAAATCGCTATGAAATGAACATTAAAACGAAAATGAGCATCCATCTGACTGCACCATCCTATTACATAGTCCCACAAAAAATAAGAATGGAAGATGTTAAAGAAGCCGACCGACAAAAAATTGACCACTCATGCCTGAAGGACACTTTACATATTCGCAGAGCGGATAAAATCTCAAATGAATGCATCCATCTCAATTTTTGCATTCAGAAGATTTTGAAAGTAAAAGCAATATATGGACGCTCAAACGATGTAAAAAAGAATGGTTTCAACATCGGATCGAGCCTCTTTGAGGTGCTTTGTCCTTATAGCCAGCAGAGCTGCTCTAACCAGTAATAAAAAGAAGAATTGTTAAAAGAATTATTATTTATAATTCTCCATTAACTTTGTTTTGGTTCATTATTTAAATTCATAAAAAAATAAAAATTAAATGGGGCTCAGTTTAATCCGAGGTTTTTGAAAGTCTTTAAAAATATTCTTTGGAAAAGAAAATTCTATTAGAAAGTTCAAAGGACGAAATATAATAACATCGCAAATACATAAATTTTTTCGCCATATCATTTACCAAAACATGAAAAAGATTAAAACTTTTTTGCTTCGTTCCCTCCATCCTTTTACATCTCCAACGCATAATTCGACACATTTCAACAAAGCAGATTCAGAAGCATCTCCAGTACATTCTCTTTTTAGCACAGGAACATCTTCCTGAAATTCAACGAAACAATAAGAATAAAAATATAAGAATAGAAATATAATGCCAGATATTCGCATCAAAAACGCCTCCAAATACCACCAGCATTAGATAAAAAAATTTGAATTAAGAAATTTAAAATTCAAACATTTAACTTTATAAATTAGGTCTGATTATATTTAATAAATATATACTTGTCCGGTTTTAAATTCCGCTCGATTACAAAGCGCAGCAACCTGGATGAGAGCCCTATAAGCCAATGATTTACTGGATTCTCGTTTAGAAACCTGGTTTTCAGATGTGTCACACTCATTGATAGCACCATCGTACCACATATGTGAAACGGTCATTCGATTTTGCGTTAGTGTACCAGTTTTGTCTGAGCAAATCGTTGAAGTGGATCCAAGAGTTTCAACAGCTTCCAAATTTTTCACCAAACAATTTTTTGAGGCCATACGCTTTGCAGTTAGGGTTAAACACACCTTAATTTTTTAACCGTTAGCATTTTTTAACCAAGCGAGTTTGTGATGGAAATGATACCGAACCCTCATAAAAAAAACTTTTCTCTCATCCCCTACGAGTGGTCATAATCATCCTCAGTCTTGGGTCCTGTACCAAAGATTTGGGAGATTGAGGGTTCTGCGCAATATTTTTATCTGTTCTTAATAGTGCGTTTTTCGGATAGAGATATCTCTGATATTTTTCCTAGAATCCACTTTTCTAGTTTAGAGATCATAGTTCCAACTGCAATATTGAGATAGGGCGGGTAAGCATTAAGGGAGTTTTGCCCAAGGATTCCACAACAAAAGCAGAAGCTTTTGAATATGAACCAAATATTGCTGTTTTTCCATTCTGTATCGATTGCAATATAATATATATATATATATATATAATAAGTACTTACCGTTACAGTAGCGATGAGTCCTTCCGGCACATTTGCGACAATAATACCAATTAAAAAGACTACTGCGCTTAACCAATGATAACCAAGAATGAAAGCGATTATGAAGAAAGATATTCCAAGAAAGACAGCAACGCCTGTGATTATATGTATAAAATGAGCGATTTCCCTAGCAATTGGTGTTTCACCTGAAAATTTTCAAAATTTCAAATTCGCTTTTTTAAATTCATTTATGGATTCACGAACACTGTGGATTCATATTTCATGTGAATTTTATGAAATTAAGCGGAGCTGATAATAAAATAAATTGTGCCATAAAAAAAAAACTAGTAGTATTATGTTAAAAACAAAAGTTACCGGAATCCAAGGTAAATTTACGAATATTCAAATTTTGAAAATAGCAGCAGCAAATGAATGATGTAAAAATTATCACGTACCAGTGTCCAAACCAGACGCCAAATGAGCTATTCTTCCCATAACAGTTCGATCTCCAGTGAAAACAACAATGCCTTTAGCAGAGCCTTTAAAACCACTTCATGTGCACTTTAATTTGAGCAATTTAAGAGCAAAAATAATGGCGTTATGTTGGTGTTAGCCAATGTCAATCACAACATATGATTCTGATAAAATTTCCTTCTTGAACGGCACTTAGTAAATGAAAATATTTAGGCAATCAGAGAAAACGAACCTTCAACAGCATTTGTTGAGAAAAAAGCCAAATTTCTCGTTTCCAGCGGGTTATCATTTGTAAATTCGGCACTTCGAGACTGAGGTTCAGATTCGCCAGTTAATGAGGAATTGTCGACCTAGAATTAACTTCGCGAAATGAAATTATCATTGCGACCAACAGAATATTTTGATGAGATAAATAAAAGCGCGAAAAAATTAAAGCGATGATAGAATCCATCTCAAATATCAGCGCTGATTAGAAACGTGGTGAAACAAACGAATAAATAAATAAGCAAGCGATTTGCTTAAAGCCAGAAAAAAGCGACAGAAAGTACCTTAAAGCCATGGGCTGATATAACTCTCACATCAGCTGGCACACGATCGCCTCCTTTTATTTCAACAATATCCCCTACTACAATATCCTCCGTTCTCATCTGTCGCTTCTCGCCATTCCGAATGACCATTGCGTACTGCAAATAATCAATAAAATGAAAAGCGAAAATTTGAAATACAGAAATTTGACTGAAAATAAAATTAGTGCATTAACAGCTGAAGGAAAAATAAAGAGGCAATATCAGGTTCATTATCAGGTACTGTATTAGAATGCCTTGCTTACAATGCCACACTAGGCACAAATTTACATAACTTGGATTTTGACTAGATACGGAAAACATTGCAATGCTCTCTGAGCATTAAAAATATGACACGCACAGTTGGAACCATATTTTTAAATGAGTCCATTATCTTTGAGCTTTTCGATTCTTGGTAGTATTGAAAACACCCCGTAATAATGACAACAGCAGCAAGCACTATTCCCAGATAAAGCTGAAACACATGCGAAAATAATTCTTTTATAAGAAATAAATGAAGCAAAAAAAATTTCCATCAATTATTTGGTTTTCTTGGTGCAAAAAAATTTTCATGAATACCCAAATATATGCGATTCAAATATATTCGTTGAAAATACGCAGAATCTACTATTTTTACTTTCTACTTTCTATAAAAGTTTCGTTTATCAAATTTTCTGTATTATTTTATTGTCTTCCATTCATTTAAAATTTTTTTGTTTTTAGTGAAAAATTGAAAAACGATAGGAAAACGTTCTTCAACTTGATTCCTTCTTCTCCGATAATCTTTGTGAAAAATTAATGCTGCAAACTAGTTGAAGAAGTTGTTATCTATATAATAAAATGTAATACAATAAATAATATAGTATAATAAATAATCTAATAAAATATAATAAATAAATATATGAATTAAATTATTCATTCAAAAATAAAAAATTTTCATGAAATCATTCCATAAATATTCGACTTACATTATCCTTGGATGGATATTCCATAGAGAAATAATCTACTGCATACGCGACAAAGCAAAGAAATGCGCCAATCCATAAAAGCATTGCAAATCCACCAAATAAATTTTTGCAGAATTTCACCCATTCCGGAATTTTCCTCGGCGGTGTAAGCGCGTTTGGTCCATCTCGAACTAGAACTGCCGCTGCCTGAGCATCTGTCAGTCCCTTCAATTCCGTTGAATATATAAGTTAATTTTTTTGCCATTTTTCCCATTTTTTCATTAGACCGAATGTTTTTTCTTTCCTCATTTCTTTTTTGCAAAGTACTTTTCACACTTAAATTAATTAGATAGAGGAGGATTTAAATGATAAATTTTTAACGAAAATGAAAGCGGCAAAAGCCATGGTTTCAAAAAATGATTAATATTATTATATTATTCAGAACAAAATTGGCATTTATTAATTAAATCACTTACAGTATCTACGTTAGACTGGAGACGTTCGAGCAAATCCTCCAAAGGAATTATGTGATGATCCTGAAAAAATTATAAATTCATAGCGATGACTTCACACTCATATGTCACCCAAATGGTAGCATAAAAATTATGCTGGATTTGCAGAAATCGATTAGTCCAAAGGATATAACAATGATGTTTTGAAATCGATCGTTAAGCCAAGAATAACTGGCTAAATGCGAAAGCAGTTGGAATTGAAATGAAAATGCCTGACGACAGAAAGCAACATGAGGATGAGGTCAAATTATTAAAATATCAAGTGTAAAATAATTATATAAAATGATTATCCAGAAAAATGCGAAGCCAGTGTCAAAAGAATTGGATGATTTGTTTGGGAAACATCGTGCTCATGATTAAATGTATTATGAATTGCTAGCAAAATGAATCAATGATTTGTAAATTTGTAAAATTGAAAACAATAGTAGAGTTATTACGTTGACTTGTCTGCCTTGTCTGCTTGGATGATCTTCACTTTCTCTCCAAATTTCCCAAGAATTCTTTGAAAATCGTTGTAACTAACCAAGAAAAATTGCCAACTGAAGGTCTTCCATGAGAAATCTATCTACCAAAAAACTATCAAGCAATATTTCTAATAACTTATCTCGAGACCATAAATTTGATATTTAAAACATGGATAAATAAGCTTATATATATTCGTGACGACATTTTTTAGAAAGGTGATTTCGGTAATGGGTTATTTGATAGTAAATAAATAGATTCCAATAATGGTGAATATATTATGAAAATTTTATTAATGTATGATATATGATAATTGTTAGAAATATGCCATGGATAAGCCTTTGTTAATACTTAATATGTGATAATGAAAAAAAAATGCAAAAAATAAATCTACCATTTTCATTTCTTGCTTAAGTTCATTGAGTTCATCCTTTTCCTTCGCCTTCTTTCCATCTGCTTTTGTACCGACACTCATTTTTGGTTTATTTTTCTAAAAATTTTCTTCAGAAAAGAAATTCTCGACTTATATATTAAAAAAAGGAAGAAATTTATGTCCCTATTTCTTTAACTAACCGAAAGTCGAGATTTTTCGACTTCTTTAGTGCCTTCTTTTCCAAGAAGGGATTCTTTCGGATCAATGGATATGTTTGTTCTCGTTGTTGCTTCACGATAAGAGTCACTTCGAGCGGTCTAAAATTTAATGAGGTAAGAGTCTGAGAAAAGCGTTAAAAAATATCAAAAATATTGCCAACTGAGTTCATTCGGACTCAAATTTTGTTGGTTAAGTATTAGCGAATTGATCAAAAATAATATTAATACTGAATAATAATATGTAATAAATTAAACCAATGTGTGATTAAAATTGCCGAAATAAGCGCAATCATTATATTAATTTATCATTCAAATTTAAATAGTGATGGTCATAAAGGCCAAATAGTAAGTTCGTACGACTAAGAGCAAGCATAATGGCGGTCAATTCATGGCACTTGGCAGCAGTGAACCTGTTCATTAAGAGCCGCCAAATCCAGAGCAATGTTTAAGCAACTTAGTAGTTGACAGATCGAATTGCGATGAGGGTTCTTTGAACAACTCGCGTTATTGACAACATCAACTAGTAAGTAAGTAATAGTAAGTAATAGTTAAAATAATAATTATAAGAATAATTAATAAGTAAATTAAAGAAGAATAATAATGAAAGAGCGAGGAGGAAAGAGAAAATCGAATAGAAAAAGATCCAAAATAATTGGGTTATAAATTTGAATGCAACAGCCAACTAAAATCAAATTAATTTACAATGTCCCATTAGCTTCAATTGTTTTATAACCAAGTCTGTCTTATAAACATAAAAAATATTTATCGTAAAAAGCACTGCAGAAATAGATAAGTAAGGTAAAAAGATGTCAGCTGAAGAAGTATTTTCGAAAATTTTTGGACAATAAATCGGTCAAAATGAAAGTGAGGAGAAAAACGGAAAATTAATAAATTATTAGTTTAAGAGAAAAGAGAAACGATAAATGCACAACATAAAAAAAATATAAGGAATGTGAAAGTTGCTGCAAAGGAATCATTTGTAAAGGAATTTTTGTTCAAAAAGATTTGGCAAAGCAATTTATCAAATTTTATCGAATTAAAATGGCAGTTGCGCTCAAAAGAGATGTTAAAGCTATGAAAGAGAAAAGTTCCCCCCCCCCCCCCCCCCCCCCCCCCCCCCTTCCCCTCCCCTCTCACTGTAGAAGCGATTATTAAAGTGATTTCAGCAAACGAAACTCTAAACGGAATTTACTATGTAATGAATTTGAATGTTGAACCATTCATTCATTTAAAAAAACAGAGCAATAATCTGAAAAAAATATTCCAGAAAAATATCCAATACAATCTTCCACTGATTTAATTTTCGCTCAATTGCAGAAGCCCTTATTTTAAAAAATTCGTTAAACAAAAAAAAACCGAAAACTAAAAATTGGCTAAGAAATTTTAGAACGATGATGAAAAATAACCACCAAAATAATAAAATGAAAAAAAATTACATTAAATCAAAAATTCTAAAAATTCGCAAAGGCGATATAAACAATTTCTGGAAATTTAACACTAAAAAAATTAAAAACACGTGCCAAACAAGAAACGTTCAAAAAAGTGCGGTAATATTCCAATAAAAATTCATTTTACTGTTTATTTCGTTTTTTTAAGTGTTCAAAAAACGCTTATTTTATAATCTCCTTTTATATAAGAAATGGTTTATCGTAATCTTCCACCAGCATTGCACTGAAATCTTAAAAATAAATCAAAACACCTAAGAGATTACTGGCATTTTTACATTATCATTGACGCCTCTATCGCCAGAATAAATTGGGATCATATGTTCTCTTCTGTTAGCTCTGTCAGCTGTT